ACCTTGTCGCGATATACACGTTGGCGTGAACTCGCCACAACTCATGGAGCTTAATTAAGATTTCTGCCTTAGTAACTAACCATCGGCTATTGTTTTCAAACAACACGCACTCTCCTGTGTGTTCATACACTTTGTTATCTCTATGGGAGTTCGTATATCACATCCCGAAAGATTAGTACATCAAGCAGATGAGAATAGCCAAAATTCCACGGAATTCCAGAAAACTTCTCGACAACCGAGTAAAACAAATGAGTTCCAGCGTAATGATAATGCGACCAAACTGATGCTATCCGAGAAAACGTCCACTCTAATGGGTGCAGATTATATGAGCACGTCCACTGCATCCACAATCAGTTCACGAATGAAACCACACGTTGGACTGTCCCCTCAACCTTATTTACATAATTCCACTCGCGGAGGTACACGAGGTCGTGATTTTACCCACTCGTGGTCAAGACTCTCTGGTAGTCCCAGCTATAATCGCACTGGTGCACACAGAGCTAGTACCCAAACAAAACCACCGTGGAAACCCTGTGTAGTGAAGACACATTACGATTACAGTCAGGCGGAGCGGCCTCAGTCGAGTTTGCGCCAAGCACCCAGTCCAGTTCCGCGACAACCCCGTCGTATGAGACGGATGGACAGTCGTCGTGTTTGTTCAACTTCACTGTCCTGTTTGAACGACATTCACTATCAGACAGGCGAGTCTCATCTACGTCGATGTTCTGCCGCAAGAAGAGCACAAGCCAATAAATCGGAAATGTTGGACACATTCAGTTTGGAAAACACTCATACGCTTGGAATAGTGGAAGGTACCACTGCAACACATCGCAGTCGACAGCCGCGTCGAGTGAGAGGGATGCGGGCGGCCTATTATCCAGCGATGCTGCGTCGACATCGACCATATCCCATGACAGTAGCAAATGCATGCGGAGGTAAGTCGATTAGAATATCTTGTGCAGTATTATTCATTTACTTGTTGAATAAACACCCAAAAAATGGCCCCGAAGTTAGAATGAAGAGCACCGATTAACCAAAAACCATCAATGTGGAAGCTTGAGAATGAATAACTGGAAAGAATTTTTCTCTTCAATGGTCTTTTTTGTGTACCAAAACTACTCTGATAAAAGTGACTTCGGTGTCCCTAGTGTATCACACGTATTCAAGCATTATTCAAAATGCTTTGTTAAGAATCAATAAATAGTTTTGGAATATTTAGTTAAGAAGGGGTAGGAGACGTGTGCCGGTGAGGTGGTGGGTCGTCCGGAAACTGCATCTGTAGTGGGAATCCATTGACTTCATTGGAGATTGATTTAAATAAACTCCATGGCATAAGCGTGAACCGATTGAATGATAATTTTGATACCCTAACTAACATGGACTGTGTATTTGACATAATAAAGAGGGGAAGTTCATATTCCCGCATAAAACATTCTTCATCCCTCCTCGAAAACGTTATGTTTGTCGAGACGAAAGGAAGATTATCAAAGAAGCGTATGACCTTATGCCAGAGTAACGCTCCTCGTTGTTTTTAAAGAGGTCTGACAATAGTTCTGCTCAGAGCAATACAGCAAATTTAATCTGATTTGCATACTTTCAACCTGCATCCATATTCAGTGAGAGTATCCACTTGAATATAGACAAAGGTACACTCCCAGACGATACTTATGTCTGATCAAATAGCTGATTGTTTTCCAAGTGACTTCAACACAAGCCTCATTAAGTGAGAGAATATACACAAGTGTATATACATGTAAATTTTGGAACTGTTTTGGCCAATGAGAGGTCTCTTGAGACGTGGTCAGCAGTTTTAAAACTCTGTGACACATGCAGCAGCTCGAGAGAAATGAATCGGCAGTTCGCTGCTACACCTGAAGCCAGCCGTCTAGCATCTTGTGTTCATTCATTGTGAAACAGGCCCTTTTCCTCTGCACGAGGGCTTTCAATAGTGTGGGAAATTAAGCCTAATAGAGTCAAGCAGTGCTTCACTTTCCGTTTTTACGACCATTAATAATGTACAGTGCCTCATTATGCTGGACCTGATGAACACTGATGCTGAAGACTGCCTTCAAGTTTGCCGCATTGGAGAAAGGTGGATTTCATTTAATAACACCCTTGGAAAACTTCAGAGATGGCATGAATAATTCAAACGCTGTTAAAGTTAACAAGTGCGTTCTTCGTTTGGGGAAATTCGGGCATGTTACAATCGAATTATGAGTCTTGTGGTAGATAAACTATTGATCTGAATATCTTCTTTTTTGTGGCGGAGACAAATTGACATACACAAGCATATTCACATTGAGGTTTTGATTGGAGCAGGCTAATAGCTCTTCACTGAGCAGCTTTTACCACCCTGCGACATCTTTAGCAGCGCCATGATATTTGAATTTTCCTCCAGACAATGTTGCACATCGTCGCGGTTCGTACTGTTTCGATTTAAGGTTTCGAGACCTGGCCTCTCTGCGCTGAGAATCCTAATAAACGTTCTGTATTCCACCAGCAATATCTTGGAGTCTGAGATGAGCAATGAAGAGGTTCGTCCTCGTGTGTTAGGTGTGTATAGTGGTTTTCTAGAAGAAGTAATCGCCCTTTACCGCTGCCGATGGCTCAGCTACCTTTTGCGTACGCCCGTCCATCATTCACCGCTTTGTGCCATCGTTGCAAGGCTTGAAAAAGTGTTGCGGTGATCAGACCGTGGTGTGATTTAGGGTGTTATCAAATTAGCTTCAGCATTGGCTTCGAATGGCCTGTATCACTTTCTGGACTGGGGCCCAACGGATGAGGGTTGTTGTGTGTTAGAGACGCTGAGAACCAAGGTTCGGATTCGGTGTCTTTGAGATCACTGCTGTACGATCTTTCTATGGAAATCGTGTGCACCGTGAAATAGGTAAATGAAAAAAAATTTAAAAATATCAAGAGATGTAAGGTGAAACAAACGAAAAGAAAGCATTGCTGTTCTTATGGATTTGATTCTCTGTAATGGGTTTCCATTCCAAATTTTTCCCCTCTCTACCCAGATCTTATCTGTTTTTTACCATTGTCGTTGCGTTGGCACAGACGTTTGTAGCAAATTTGACGTTGAACAACACTTTCCTTTTTATTCATGCGCTTTGTCACCGGAATATTTCAACTTAAAGAAAACCTGCATTGCCAAATAATCCTTGGAACGAAACATCTTTTCCGAGATTAGCTTAAGACATTATCCACAATTGATGCATTGTATGATATAAATCCGGCTTAGTTCGATTGTGCCTTCTCAGGTGCACACTGAAGTCAGCAGAATAGACCAAAACCTACATCAGCCAATAAGTGGATAAAGAAATATAGAGATTCATTCATTCATTCCAAGGAGAATGTAATAAAGTTTCTTTCCAACCCCCTACGGCGGATTGAGGATTGGTAACATTTTACGGTATATTGTATTGTAATAGATAGTTGAGAAAGACGGTTCTCCAAATGGGTACCTAAATGTTTTGGGCACGGCATACTTCGCGGTTGCCCACACCGACGAAGGGT